CCCTCTTCCCCCAGCACGACGGCTGCCCGTTTTCATTCCCTGTCGGCAGTTCCTTCCCCGACTCTTAAGAAGCTTGCTGCTGCATCCTCCTGCTTCTGGGAAGCGGTAAGCATCCTCAAGCAGTTCTCTTGGCTGCTTTCTTCAAGTCAATTTCAAATTATCATTCCCAAACAAAAAAGTGTTTTTTTGAGACCAACATTGTTTTAAAAATTACAGGGAGGCTGACAAGATTCTAATCTAATCCCTACTGTCAGAGTTTATAACTCTAGTTCATCAGACAAGGTGTAAATACAGAAAACAAATGGAAAAATAATACAGGTTAAAATTGAAGTCTAATAGGAACCAGGGAACTCCTATTTGTTATGGGCGTTACTTCCAAATGGTGCCACACTTGGTCCAGTTTCTCCTCACACTTGGTCCGGTTTTCCTCTGGTTTTTGATTCTTGTTCTATTCTATGTCAAAAGGATCCAACAAAGGGAAGGGGCACTTTTCTTTGTTTAGTTCACATTATCAACACTTGCATTTCCAATTGCAGTTAATCTCCCCATTTATTCCTTCTATTGTTGTTTGATGGAACTCTGTGACGAGGGATTCAATTTCTAAGAAAGACTTGACACAAAGAAAGTTAGCTAGCAGAGGCTAGGCACTGGTGTTTGCCAAGCATGGAGTTTCCAGTCTCTCTGCGTATTATTATGTACTATGAGGATGAGTCATGCCTGGAAAATGGAGTGATTTTGAAATGCAATTGTCCTCTACTGAAAAATCCAGCTTAAGAACTGGCTCCCAGGCGCTCGTGCATCAAGCGGCAAACCTCCTATTACAGTGCCCGCGTCTTATTTCTGTTGTCACAGACAGACAGAACAGCTGCCTCCAGTGGGGCCAGAGCTTGGAGAGGCCGGGATTCCCCATGGGGGCAGCAAAGGGTACAGATAAATGGGAATAAAAACCCTCTGTTAATAACCTGGAATGTATGAGCCACTCTTTGTCCCCTCTTGCAACTTTAAATCAATCCTTGTTCTCTGGGAGAGCTGACAGAGTGGAGGATCATCATAAAGGATCATGGCTCACCAAAAATCCCTCTATTTGGGCTTAGAACCTATTTGCTATGGGCTGGAGAGGCTGAACTCACCCAAGGCTTTTGTGTGGGGGTAATTATAATAGTTCTGACCCTTCTTTTGTGGCACATTGCCAACACGATGTCACAATACCAGAATCATCAGACACAGAGTTGCCTGATGTGAGAAGTGGGGAGTAAAGTGGGAGGCCAGGTGGGTGGGTCCTGGATGCCGAGGGCTATCAGAAAGCTGAGACTCAGGGCAGGGGTAGGAAGCAGCAGACGAATGCCATCCTGATCAAGTCCTCTGGTCTGTGGCTGTATTCCAGGGACTGGCCAGTCCACCTGTCCCTCCCTAGAGGGAATGGGAGCAAATGTGTGAAAGGGGTCAGAGTCACTAGAAGGGCATTTCCTAAAGTAAGGGTGCATGGAAGTCACTCCAGTGAGCAACTGTGGAGCATCATTTTGATGTTTGCTGTTGGATCACTGGCTATGCAGTTGTTTTCATATAAAAACATTCTTCTTGCCTTAAGGAGTTATGAACTTGTCATATTTAATAATTGAATAACCTCCATGAATGCAAATAAGAGCTCCAATCCTGAGAAAGGGGTAAATTCTGGGTTATACCCTTAGTACCAAATACAGTAGGACCTCCATAGTCGAGCACCTCCTTTCATTGTGCCCCCCCCAGTTGACCTAATTTTCATAGACAGACACATTTTACCTGTACAGATCAGGACAGTAGGCCTTGTTCCTTATGTTGACCACCTCCACATGCTGACCGGTTTGTGGTCAACTTACAGAGGTTCTACTGAAGTCTTTTAATGATTGGTATTATAGTAACACAAAACAGATGTAGAAATTTTTAAAAATGCAGGCTGGTCTCCTGATTTTTCATTTGATTTAAGAAGACTGATTCACTGTTGGGCAAATCTCTTTTCAGAGAAAAGGTTTGTGTAAGTTTCATTAATTTTCTTGTACTATGGCCATATGGAGGATGGGATTATTGTGTCGCCAGCCCATCCAGCATAACTTAGATATGTTTAAACCCAAAAGCGCATTCGTCATGTGGGTTGTCAGAATGCTACTCTACTGGAGTTAAGGGAGGTCTGTATTCGAAGGCTTTGAAAGACCCCAACATCCTTATCTTGCCCACCACCCTCGAACTCCCTGCTGGAGACAGAGCTAAACTCAGGCTATAAAGCAGACCCAAGAATCAGGCCAATTTTAGAATAAGAAAGATGAAGTTTTATGTTCTGCCTAAGACAAGGCTTCTTCAATTTGAAGAAGTTGAAGTGTGCCAAAGCACCCCTTGGTTATGTTTTTAACCTGCGATGTTTTGGGGTTCTGGATCTCAAGGTCTCTGGACACTGAGTAAGCCAGTGGTTTTCAAACTTGGTTGCTACTAGAATATGCTTTTCCAAAAGAGATGCTCAGGGTGTACCTAATTAAATTACAGTAGAGCCTCTGGAAGTTGACCACCCACAAATGGATCAAAATCTGGAGATGGTCAATGTTGTAGAATGTCTGGGGAGTTGGGCCCAGGCTTTGGAAACTTTTGAAAGTTTCATAGGTCATTTTAATAAGAAGCCAAGGATGTGAATCCCTGGTGTAGGCTAAGAAAGCTCCAGTATTGACATGGCTGAAGGTTGTTTGGAAGTCTATAGGATGAGGCAGCTTTCATAAAGCTTGTCACACTTATCTTCAAACAAATATGTGGCTTACCACATGGATAAGCATTAGGTTTCAGAAACCCTTGGAGCTCACATGCTAAAATCTGTACAGATGTGCATGTATCTACTTTTCTAGAGAGATGATCCTCAGCTTCACTATATTCACTTTATTTTCTACCCTACTCCCTGGTTTTGATCATCCACACATTCATTTCTGTTTATCCCCATGCCTTGCTCCCATTCTTATGCATAAAGTATGCTAATGTGCTGTTTATATTTTGCTTTGCATGTTTTTGTTTCATGTGCATCTATTTGTAATTTACATGGATGACGCACTCTGATTCAGTGCTGTGCTTTCGTGATCCGTCCTGGTTGGTGCCACACATCCGTCCCCTTGCTCCCACGTGCTGTACCCTCCCACTGCTTTCCCTGCCTGCTTCCCCAGTGATGGACACCCAGCATGTTTCCAGCTCTCCTTAGCCACAAGCGGTATGGTGAGAGCAGCCTCATATATGTCCCCTTATAAGCCCATGTGAGAACTTCTTGGGGAATATACTCAGGGGTGGAATGGATGGGTCACAAGGAGGTGCATACATGCTTGTATTTCCTTGGCTAAGGAGGACTGAAGTGCTCTCCCAAAGGGCTATCCTCCCTGGATTCCGGGGGGATCTGAGATCTCCCCTGCTAAATCATAAAAGCGATTCTGCTAGTCTTGGCGAGGCTCCCACCCCCAGCACTACTTGCTTCTCCTTTTCCTTCCCCTGATCTGCTTGTTTCCCCATTCCCTGTGACAGCTGTATTAAACCCTCATCACCATCCTCAAGTCCCTTATTCTATTTCAATTTCTTTTTCACAGAAAAAATAGAAGTCATCTTTTATTTTCTCCCTTCACTTCTAAATCACCAGTGTCAGCCCCATCTTGATTTGTTTTCCCACTCATCTTTCCTTCTGGAGTTTCTCATGCCCTCTCCACCTGTCTTCTGGAAGCTTGTCGGGTTCTCAGCTTTTCCCGTTTCTCTTACCCCTGGCTCACTTCTGTGGTACATAATCTTGGCCAGTTCTTTCTTTCCCATCCCCAAACCAACGTCCCTTCTCCTTAAGCTACCTCCATTGTTCTTTTTAAAATTGTTTTTCTTCTATCACAAACTTTTCGAATGCATTGTTCACATTCTTTCTCTGCTCCTTCATGTTCCTCTAACTTGCTCCTTCATGCCCAACCCTCCAAACGCTAACTGGCAAATCCCCGTGCGCTTCCCAGCTCCCTCCTGCTTCTTTTTTTGCAGCATCTGGCATCATGAACAAGCTGCTGCCGGACGGAGCCATCTCTCCTCTCGGCTCTGGGGATATTACTTCCTCCTGGTTCTCCTACTCTTCTCTCCTGGCGGCTCCTCAGTCTCCATCAGGGCCTCCTCTCCCTTGAAAGGCTTTGGCCCTAAGGTTTTCCCCTTTGCACTCCATCTGCTCTCCTGAAAGCTTGTCTATTTCTTAGGCTTCCTTGAATGGCCATTTATAAGCACATGACTCTTCCAATCTGGATCTCATCTTAATTCAACAAAGGGTCCTTGAAAACTTACTGGCTGCTAAGATCCAGAGTCACATGTGACATACCAGAGCTCCCAGTCTAGAATGTTTTTTTCTGAGCTCCAGGCCCCACACATTTGGCTGTCTTTCTGTTTGTTACGGTTTGAGGATACTCGTCTAATTCACTCAGTAGTGGAAACAAATTATACATCTCTAAGTTTTTTCTAAAGGGGTCCAGAACGCAGCCTTGTTTGACAACAGGTGAGCAGATGATCCTGCCTGCTCTGATTTTGGCCTGCAAAACCCACCAAAGGCCCCTGGGTCACAAGACGGGCATATATTTACTTTGACTAAAGTGCAGGACTGCTCTCTGGAACAGCAGGAGTGCCTGGAGTTCTGAGAATATAATTTGGTCCGCAGATTTCTCTTCTCTGCCTTTGGAATAGTAAGAGACATCGACAGAGTTGCAGGCTGATGACAACGTATGATGTGAGAATTGTGTATCATCTGATACTGTCAGTAACAGACTTTGCCCTAAGGTCGCTTCCCCCAGTGGTACCGGCATGATGAGGCTTCCACACATGAGACAGAATCGTGCCAGGCTGAACAAAATTAAATGCGAAACGAAATAAATGCCGTGCCTTTCTTGCACAACCAGGCTGGGCAGATTAGGAAGCACAGTGTGGCAGACCTCCTGCGGGCTGGCCTGGCCAAGCCGTGGAGGGCCAGCTGCTCTCTAAGATCGCCTTACCTCTGTTTCAGAATCTGCTTGTTGTCTTCGATGGTCACACTGTCAGCATGGTCCCTCTTGAAGGTTTCAAAAGCCTCCTGCCGTCCTAATGACATTTCCTCTCTCATTCCTGTTTGAAGACACAGAGAAATGGCCTCAGTCACAGCATCAGGATCCTATTAATTTCATTGTCACTCTAGTCAGAGCACGAAGCCAGCCCTGGCTCTGAGAGGCCCTCTGCTCTGGCCAGACAGGTGGCCACAGGGTCTTCCAGCTGGCCGCCAACCTGCCACGAAGGCCCTCCCAGCAACACCCGCTGTGCCCTGCAGGGCTGTGCCTGCATGTCCATGTGACTTGTGGAGGGTGGGTTTGGAATGTTTGGACAGAGGAAATGAAAACCAGAGCGCTGAGGACTGCCGAGGACGTCTGCAGATGATCCACCTTCTGCTGTCACATGGCGCCCGTCTCCCTGCCCGGGAACTTCTGCCGTCACAGGGTGCCCGGTCTCCCTGTCCGGGACTGCCGTGGAAGTCTGCAATTACATCTGCTGTCACATGGCGCCCCATCTCCCTGTTTCCCTGTTATGCCCTGTTTTGGTTTTCTGTTAAACTTCACTCTCAATTCCCAGGAATTTAGTTAAAAGAATTATAACCTGAACTGAAAGATAGAGAATCTAGAAAATTCTGCTCTTAGTCTATATATACGTACAATGATTCATCCTTGTTCTCTGTGGTTAGTGAGAGGCCTTGGTTCTTACTCAGGAATGAGGTTCTCAAGTACAAGAACCAAAAGCAGACCACGGCAGGGGTCCCTCATTTATGTCTAACTTCAATACCTGCATTGCTATTCCCACTAAAAGCCAACACTTACAGCCAGGCCCTGCTCAGAAATCAAATTCTGGAACCTACAGTCAGAACAGCCAGGACCCTTGGAATAGCCAGGTAGAGTTCTGGCACCCGGCTTCCTTCCTCACAAGCTCCTAGTGTAGGTGGGTGCCTGGGACCCCTGAGGGAGAACTAAATTCACAGCTGAATTTTGGATGCATCTACACTCTTTTTTTTTTTTTTTTAATACTTCTGCCTTGGTTCCTTTGCCCTGGAGGCCTTTTCTGATGTCCCCATCCAGTAACACTACTTATCTTTGGAGCCCAGGCTGGATGTTACCACCTCCATGGAGCTCTCCCTAAAGCCCAGGCAGAACCAACCCTCCCTCCACCACGTTCCTTATCAATACACCTGCAACAGGCACAGCCCAGTGGACACTGTCCCTTCACATGACAATCCTTTTTGGTCATGCAAGGTTCTCAGGGGGTAGAGAGAATATTTTTTGTGGCTCCTAGTGTCGTGTTCAATGTGTAGCATTTAGAAGGTGCTCACCGTATGCCTGTTAAGAAATCAGGTGGAGAATGCAGTGGCAGTGGTGAGAGCCCCCTGCTCTTATTGACCTCGGAGCACATCCAGGGCGAGTGAGGCTCGCTGTGAGCCCTCTGCAGATGCATTCATACGGGCCGCACGCAACATCTCCTGCCTGGAAAAACCCATGAGTCCCATCACCCATCCCCAGGGTGAGAAACTGGACTGGCCCATCTGACACCAATTTAATGATTACTGTTGATAAAAATAGCACCATGAAGAATGTCTGAATGGTGAGGCACACAAAGACGCCCCACCCTTTTCCAATCAGAAGCAAATGGGCACGGCTCAGTGTTGTCGCCACATCTGCCCTGCACACTCCAGAACTGGGAAGGCCTCAGAAGCCGTTTGTGTGAGACTTGGGAAGACGAGCACTGCTGCAGGAGAGACATTAGCAAGGGCATTTTCCACCAGCAGAGCCCTCTGGGGCCAAGGAATCCATCCCACAACTCTCCCCGGTGCCTGATCGGAGTGCAGTTTGAACAATGTACACCTTTGGCTGCCTGATAAAATGATAACAGAGGGTAGAGGGTGTGACTCTGTCTGGAATAGAGTTAAGGGAAAGGAAAGCTCCACAGAGACCACACTGGAATCCACCTCAGGATCCCCAAATTGCTTCCCACAGGGGAGCTGATGAGAAGGCTTCTACCAACCAGGTAGCAGAGATGTGAGGGCGGGGAGATGCAGGATTGCTCAAAAGCCGCAAAGAAAGACCAGGATTCATGGCCTTTTCTCTCTCAAGTTCTGCTTTCTATATTGAGTCGACAGTGCCCCCTGACAGTTCGGGGAAAGGGCCATGCTGAAGCCCATGGCACTGTTATAGCAGTAGGTCCTGGGGAAACTTCCAATCAACTGAACACCCCTCTTTGAGGCCCTTCCCTGAGGTATCTAGGGGCCTGGGCACTGGGGCAGAAAGGACATGAGTGCACAGAGGACATAAGTCCAGGGAATTTGGGATCATTTTGTAGAGAATCTTCGAGGTCCCACTAAGAAATCTGGGAGCCAGAAGTATAAAGTTTTCTACATAAATAACCAATTTTCAAAGATTGGAAATCTAATAAAGTACATATTAGGGGAAAGTTATGCTGGAAATATTTATACTTTTGGTGATTTAAAAGACCCTTGGGGTCCTGCAGTGCCATGGGCTTATCATCAGGAACACGACATTGCTTTTATTCCTACTATCATAGAGAAAGTATTCTGGAATTGGAGTTCTTTGACAGTGGTGACTACAGGTAATGGACACGATTATGGTGGCTATAATCCTGTCAGTTAGGTTCCTAAGTGCTTGTTCAGGGAGGCCAAGGTGAGGCGTCCCCAGGCTGAAGTCAAAAGGCAAGGCAAGGTCTGGGCGCAGTGCCTGACGCCTTCATTCCCAGCATGCTGGGAGGCCCAGGTGGGAGGATTTCCCAGATGTTCAAGACCAGCCTGAGCGACACAGTAGAGGAAGGGTAAGTGGAGCAAGTAGTGATAGAAAGCTCATCTTGCTGATGAGACAATCATCCATTTATTTGTTCTTTCAGGAATAAATTCATTTGTTTATGTATCTCAGTCATGGTGCTAGGCATGTGACAGAGATACAAAATTAAACAAGATTAAAGCTTTGATCCTTGTGCTTTAAGAGTTCAAAGTCGAGTAAGGGGGAAAGAAAAGTGAACAAACAAGTTCAGTGGAGGTTTCTTCTTGCTGGGGAGGCGTGTGTCCAACCCCGGGCACCAAGGTGGAGGGGAGGAGGGTCACCTGCCAGGGGGTGTGGGCCAGGGCTGCTCCGAGGAGAGAGCACGTGGACTTCAGCTGGAAGGATTCTGAAGGATGGAATGGCATTTGCCAGGGAGACAAGTGAAAGAAGATCCCCGGTGGAGGCAGAAGAGGAAAGTGTAGATTAAAAAGGCAACTTGATTAACAGCGGTGGTTCTGCCACGCTTTCCTTTGGGTGATTAAAAAGGGAATTTCTTACATACTCCATGCTAAGCATGGTAGCAGATGTTTTCTTGTGTGTTGTTTTAGTTAAACCTCTCCATGCTCCCAGTTAATAATTTTGTTTTATAGATGAGGAAACTGGGGCTAAATTAAAGAAGTGATTAGAAAGGGGTGAAAACTGCCTAGCGTTTAGAGACAGTTCTGCTCTTAGATCACTTTTTCCAGGGAAAATATGGCTGATCGAGAGGGCAGAGACTCAAAATGACCTGGGAGTTGTAGACTTACCCATGAGTTCGTACTTTTATTAGTGCCTCTCTGTCTAAAAAGCCTTGAAATTTTTTTTTAATAGTATGAAAGAAAAATAGAATCCTGGGTTTTGATTACTATTTTCATAGTTTACTTCATTTGTTAGTCTGTTCTGTTATTATTTCTAGAGTTTGTAAACTTCATGAGGGTAGGGATTTTTGTCAGTTTTGTTTGGAGGAATATTTCTAACACCTGGATTGTACCTGGCACACAGGGGGAAGTCAGTCAAACGTCTTTTGAATGAATGGATAGATGGACGAATGTTTTACAGCAGCGGTTCTCAACCTGTGGTTCTCAACCTGGGGGTCTCCTGCACATCAGATATTTACATTACAATTCATAGCAGTAGCAAAATTAAAGTTATGAAGTAGCAACGGAAATGATTTTTATGGTTGGGGGTCACCACGACATGAGGAACTGTATAAAAGGGTCACGGCATTAGGAAGGTTGAGAACCACTGTTTTACAGGCTTCCTGTTTTCCCTTTTGCTCTGGCACACTGTGACGCTGTGGGAGACATGAAGTACGTGTCCATTGTTCTCGGCCTCCACTACCAGGCTCCTGTGCAGGATCCTGTCCCATGTGGTGAGATTTCAGATATTCCATACCACCTTCTCGCCACTACATGTCACCATACTTAGCAGCCCATCATTAGAGACTAATTCCAACTCCAACAAGCTTTCATAAGAATACAACTCCAATCCGTGTGTTGAATAGTGATGTTCTGTTCAACAACGGCTGAACATACAGTCGTGGTCCCATTGTAGGCATCGTAAGGTGTTAGTGCAGCACAATACTCATGTGTTTGGGACGTTGCCAGTCATACAAAAGCCCAGTAAACAATTATGTACAGTACGTAACACCTGATGATCAGAAATGACTATGTTACTGGTTTACATATTTCCTACACTATGCTTTTTGTTCTACTCAGTATTTTAGAACGTATCGTTATGTGTTTTTAAAAAAGTTAACTATAAGACATCCTCAGGAATGTCTTTCAGGAGGTGTTACAGAAGAAGGCATTGTTACCACAGGAGATTCCACCTGCGTGCGTGTTACTGCCCCTGAAGGCTTTCCAGTGGGACAAGATATGGAGGTGGACGACAGTGATGTTTATGATCCCTATGAGACCTAGGCTAATGTGTGTGTTTGTGTCCTGGTTTTTAATCAAAAAAGTTTAAAGAGTGAAAAAAAGAAAAGTTTTAAAATAGAAAGAAAGCTTATGGAACAAGGTTGTGAGAAATATTTTTGTGTAGCAGTACAATGTGTTTATGTTTTAAGCTAAGTGTTATTATAAGAGTTAAAAGTTAACAAAATTAATACAATCAAAAAGTTATGAGAAGCTAAGGTTAATTTATTATTGAAGAAAGAAAAATTTTGTAGGGTGTCTGTGAAGTCTACAGCAGTGAATGGTAACATCCTAGGCCTCGACATTCACTCACCGCTCACTGAGTCACACAGAGCAACTCCCAGTCCTGTAAGCTCCATTCATG